GCGGAGGTGGGGAAGGGGAGGGTTCCGGCGGAGGGGAGGATGCCGGTTGAGGCGGAGGAGGCGGGCTTTCTGTTGAGGTGGATGGTGCTGAAGCCATTCGGCGGAGGAATTTCCGGCGTGGATGCGTAGGATGTACAGAATCGCCGGAAATTTGAGCTCCGCTAAATTCTTCCGAGGAGAATCGGTTTTTTTTCTGCTTGCTCCTTCACAACAATGGACGCCACCTGAAAATGGTCATCAACAAGGGGGTTAATGTTGTGCAAAGGCGACGAGCTACTGCTCGTTTTCTGCACATTTGCGTTGAGAAGATTGAGTAAAATTGATTTCTGAAAGAAACATGAATGGGGCCATGATTAAACGATGATTTTTGTTCTTCATTAGAAGAGATTGAAAGAAAGCTTACCTGAAGATTGAAGGGTCCTCCAAGGTAAAAACGGAGAGAGAGAGAGGAAATTTAGCATTGTGTTTTCTTTTGCCATTATAGAAAGGACAACACCAGAGATTGGCGCTCCTACAAAACAGGGTCTTTCTCCTCCCTCGCTCTACCTCTACGTCACATTTCCGGGTTTTTTGGACCTCGCTTAATAACAGTTAGCTCATTAAATAATATTCTTTCACTATTTAGATTTTAGCTCAAACAAATAAATAAATAAAATCTTCAAAATTAATTTTTATAAAAAAACTATTTTTTTAAAAATTCTGTAAAAGTTGTGAGATAGTTTCCCAAACGTTTTGGACTCCCGTAACAATTTGCAATTCGACCATTTTTTTTTTTTTCAAAACGACAATAAGGAATCTCATATATAGATAAAGTGTATATAAACACGGGATCTCGAGGGACCACAATCCTAACAAATGGATCAAAGGAAAGCAACAAACTTCCTAGTAAATAAACTGAGAACTGACAAAAGAAACACAGGAACGGCAAGATAACAACCGCAAAGCTCTACGGAGACCTGTTACATGCTAGAAATACAATTAAGCTAAACAAAGGACAATAAAACAAAGCAACTAGCCACTGCCAAAGACCTAGCTAGAAAAACAGAAAATACAAAGCAAGCTAAGACAAAGAATAAGCAAATTCAAGCCATTCTTGGATTGCAGTGTCAACAATAACTTTCTCCAGGGTCCAGATCTTTTGAAAAACCTACAGGTTTTGAGTCTTCCAAAGTTGCCAAAGGTTATAAGTAGAAAGTCGTAATTTGTCTTCCACTGACATATTATCCTTGAGCAGACAACAATAAGCAATGAAATCAGGGACCGAAAATTTCTAGAAAACCGAGAACGGCCATCCCATTGAACATGAGCAATCCTCCACACTTTTGCAGCCCTTGTACATTCAAAAAGAGTATGCTCAGCAGTCTCTTGTTGTTCCCCACACACCATGTAAGTAGTGTCCAACTTGAGACCTTTTTTCTTCAAGTTAATAGCAACGGGGAGTACACCATTGAAGCATTTCCAAATGAAATGTTTTACTTTGCGCTTGATATTCAACTTACAACTTTTATTTCTCATTTTTCTCAAGGAGTGAGCATTGGAACTATTCTCGGCTACATCAAGCTTAAGTAATTCTTCAGAGATTAGCTGAGCATAAGTGGAAAGAGGAAGGAAATGAGTCTTGAAGACTTAGTTGTTCGTCTTTGTATTTGTTGTAAGTATTTTTACCGGAGTAGAATCTAAAGATTCGTTCCCCGGGTCGTATCGCAAGGAAGGTTAGCCGGATATTCTTGTGCGTTTATTCAATCACGAAAAAAAAGAAAACAAATTCCTAAACACTCTAGTTCAATATTTTGGGGGTTTCGATTATCAACTAAGGATACTAAAACTAGATTAAACGCAAGTAAAATGGCAAATAAATTCACTGAATGGTTTAAGAGCTAGGGAATCGGGGATAATTGCTTTCGGTTCTAACATCATCACCGGCAATCAATTGCTCGGTTAAAGGACTTGAATCGTTTCTCGTTCAGAGGTTCACTCTCAATAACTCTTCGTAACAAGAGAGTGAATGTAAACGATCGACTATCAATTTCAACAACACATAGATTATACGCTTCCGAACAAATCTATTCTAAACGAGCCTAATTCGACCAACGTCTCCCCTCACGGTTCTACACGTTGATTATTTAGGTTAGAAAGGTGATCAATCTACTAACCCTTTAATTCACACAACTCGCATAGACATGAACAATCAAAAGCATTCAATCATTATCGAACCTAATCAATCATCCCATATCCCTAGCGAATGGATTTAGCTACTCATATGGAATCTAACATCACAATTCATATTAACCCAAGCCATCATCATCAACAAAACAATTGAGAAAATACGATTAATGATAAGAATTCAATGTCAAATCCAAGTGCATCCAAATCCAAAGCAGAGAAAAGGAGTTTTCAATCTCCAAAACAAATCCAAAGTGCAAATTCTTTTTCCCTCATTTTAGGTCTTTTCTTTCTTTTTTAGTCCGTTTCGTATAATATTATGTGTTTTTCTTGATTTTGAGTCTTTAGGTGTTTTTTTGTTTGTTTTCCCAGTTTTCTTCGTGTTTTGTCGTTTTTGGTGTGTAGGTCGGGAGCTTCGAGTGAATTTTCTCTTCAGCAAAAGTTTGATTCGAGCACATAGTTGAATAGAGAGATTCGTTGGCGATGCATAGCAGAAAACGAAACTCAATTCCGAGTTCGGACGAACCCAAACGATGAAAGTCGCGACTCGCGATAAAAACAGAGCCTGAAGGTGCAGTTCGTAAGCTCAAGTCGCGACTCGCGACATTAAAGTCTCGACTCACGAGTTATGTCGCGACCAACCCCAGAAATTGAAGATTTTAACGACGTGCGACTCGCGACTCGAGGTGACATGAATGTCGCGACTCGTGACTTATTGGCGCGAGAATCGAGAAGCGGGATTTAACATCAGGTTTTGGACCTAGGGCTCATTATTCACTTCCAGACTTTGTTTTTAGGCTTTTTCTCTCGAGAAACTCATTCATTTTCATGTTTTTTTCACTTTTGATTGGATTTGGAGATTGAAAAACTCCTTTTCTTGCTTGAATTTGGATTGTTCATTGGATTCGATTCTTGATTCTCTATTAGTCGTAAGTTTTTTTTTTCAATTAATCCTTGAATATGAATGCTTGGGTTCTTGAGATGAATTGTGTTGAATTCCATATGAATAACTAATTCTTTTCGCTAGGGATAGGGGATGATGATGATGTTTAGAATTTAATTGTGATTATCATGCTTGTTGATCGTTCAATTTATGCAAGTTGTTCTTAACTAGGGTTTATAATTCTCGTACATTAAATGTTAAATATTATCGACTAGTGACACTTCGATTTGCAATTGATTTCCAATTGAATATGATTTGTTCTTTTGTGATGTGTTTAAATCCAACGAACTAGTAGATTAACAATCGTCTAGAATAATTAATCAACTCTTAAAACTGAAAGGGGAGGAGTTGATCGATCTAGGCTCGTATAAAATAGACTTGTTCGGAAACGTATTGTCTATGTGTTGTGTGATTTGCGTGATTTACCGTCTATGATACCCTCTTGTTACGAAGAGTTATTGAGGATTAATCTTTAGACGTTAGGTTGTTCGAACCATCCAACCGAATGATTTTAGCTTGATATTCGCGTTGGTTAGAAAATTATCATCCCCGATGCTCTAGCTTCTTATCCTTTGATCTTCATCTTCACTTTTAAGTTCAATTTAGCATTGTTTTAATTCTCTTTCGTAGTTGATAATTAAAAACCACTATCTTGATAAGAGTGTTTAGGATTTATTTTTCTTTTATGTGTTATCAACACCATTACTAGATTCCGAACCGCCTTTGATATAGGATATTATATAGTAGACCAGTCTTAATGGATAAAAAGGGAATATATTGAAGAATAAGCCCACACATGGCTAGGACACGTGGCATGATGCTATTGGACAAGCCCAACTTGGGTCATAAGGTACATTCCCCCTATAAAAGGGGGCTAAGGTATCCCATTCTCTCACTCTCTCTACATTCATTACTACACTTGGGATTTGGAGTGATTCTGACTTGAGCGTCGGAGGCCCAACGCCGGGACCCCTCCCGGCGTTGGGTTCTTGCAGGTCTGGTGGCCGTTCGAGTTGAAGGAGCCCGGGTGAAATCTTATTCACTTCATTGGCGCCGTCTGTGGGACCCGTTAAAAAAGTCAAACAGAGTTCCGACCAAAAAATTTGAGAAATCTTCTAGCAAGCTCCTTCTTCTCCACCGCCGGCCGCCACCCTCGCCGCCGGCCGCCTGAAAACGTGCTTCGATCGGAAAATTCTTTACGTCATTGGATAGATCTCTTCGAGGTGGATCTCCCCTTAAAATTTCATGCGAAAATTCCTTCGGAAAGGCCGTCAATTTTGCAGTCAAAGTTTCTAGATCTAATAAAAAATTGGTCAAAATCGGACATTCAAATGCATTTTCCCGACGATCCATGAGGGCTATGGAAAATCCGAGGGTACCACCGGAATCCTCTCGACGAGGCGAATCTACAGAGCCTGACCTCCGCCGGACGCTGTCGCCTCCGTTACCAACCACCGCAAAAAATTCTTCGATCGGGAAAATCTCTACATCCCCGTGAAGCTCTTCTCATGCTCGTCTTGCCCTTAAATTTTCAAGCAAAAATTCCAACCATAGGACCGTCAATTTTGTTGGTCAAAGTTTATAGATCTAGAGATTTTTGGTCAAAATTCGGTCATCTTTCTCAAATTTTCGGTGATTCTTGACGATTCACTTCAAACCGAGGTCATGGTTAGAATCTCCTCACTGAGGCGCACACGTGGCAGGGTATTTTCGCCGGAGATGGCGATGTATTTCCGGTAATCTTTTTTCGGCTGTTTCCGCCGGGAGTACGAGCTTCAGGCCGCGAGCTTCTGTCTGCGAGGTCAAGCGCAGCCCACCGCGCGAGGAAGCCCACCGCATCTCAGCAGACCGAGCCCATGGCGTTGTGGAGACCCAGCAAGCGGCCCAGTAGAGAAGGCCCAACTCCTGTCAGATCTAGTGTGCGGGCCGCGCCCAGCCCGCGTCCGAGCCCGCCCGCCCTTCTCACAGTGCCAGGCCCGCGAGGCCCGCAGCAAGCCCGCGAGCAGCCTGTCTTCCCAGCCAT